ATGAAGATCCTTAACATCCTAGAACTGTCTCATTCCAAGGCAGCCACAAATCCCCCATCTACAAGGGAAGTCTGCCCTTAATCCTGGGCACATGCTGTGACCCATAGAATGCAGTAGAAGTGATACTGTGCCATTTTCCAAGTCCAGCTCTTAGGAAACTGACAGCTTTCAATTCCTGCCTCAAAATGGTCTCTCTTGACACCCCCAGACATGAGGAAGGAATTTGTAGGTGGTCAGCCTGGCTGAGAGTTCCAGCCGAACCCAGACTTCCAGCCCATTCTTACTGAGGTACTAGACAGTTGAGGGAATGTGAACAAGGCTACCGTGGACCCTAAATGCCAGCTCATGTGCCATTTTTTTTTTTTTTTTTTCCGGGAATCGAACTCAGGACCTTGTGCTTGCCAGGCAGGCACTTATGCCACTGAGCTGTATCCCTGGCCCTCATGTGCCATTTTTACATCACTAAGTGACCTCAGTTGCTACCAGAAGAATCGCTCCGGCAATCCTTGCCGGAATTCCTTGCCCACAAAACTGAGCTGTAATAAAATGGTTGTGTTAAATGACTAAGATTTGAGCTAACTTGGAACACAAAGAGATAACAACCAACGTGGACCAACGTGGATTAGTTCATCAAATCTATGCATTGTCTCTACTTTACAGACTAGGACAGTTAAGATCTCTCAGGAAACATGAGGGCAAATCAGCATTTGAACTTGAATTTGGGAGCTTGATTTCAGAGCTCTCTGGCACTGAAGCCCTTGTTACCTTGTCTCTTAATGGATCTGTGTGCCCCTCCCGGAGGAGAGCTGACGTTTCAACCGAAACCATTACCTTCAGCCAAAAGAGTGACTGACTGTACAAGGAATCACTTCTCCGGCACCTGGACCCACGTTTGAAGGAGAGGGGACCAGATCATGAGCTGGGCTCCTCCCTTGGCAAAACTCAGCATAATGTGGGACTGATTTACGTTTCATTATGTACCTATGACTGACAGGGATCCTGTTCAGGTTGAACGCTTAACAAGTGTTGCTCGATGAAAAACCCACAGAAGAGTAAGTGACAGAATGGGGAGGAGGGCCCGCGGGCTAAAATCTGGACAGAAAGGTTTTCTCGCCACCTAGTGGCTGTTCCCAGAACAACACTTTCCTCTGTGGCAGGGGAAGGAAACGGAAGGTTCCTTTGGGGATCTTGGCTGAACGTTTACGATCACAAAATATCATACTGCTCCAGACTGGAGTTGGGTAGAATGAGAGTGAGCCATCCCACCCCGGAACCAGACATCTTGCCACTTCGTGTCTGTGCTCCTTAAGGGGCGCAGGAAGAAGGGCTTCCCCTGCCACGGCTCGTTCCCTGCTTTACAATGTGGGACGTTCAGTGGGTCCTTCATAAGTCAATAGTTGGGACAGAAATTTGAAAAAAAGTGATGTCACATCCTGTAGTTCATCTTCCCCCTCCAAGAAAGTTTCCAAAAGAGAGCTCGGCTGAAGCGAGGCATGGCTCTCAGAACTTAGAACACGGCTTGTTCCCAGCCAGTCCACCTCCCAGCACCGAGCCCCTGCCGTCCCTCTCCTCCCCTGGGGCTCCAGACACTGGCAGGCTCCCGGCCCTGACCCCTTGCTGAGCTGACAAGTACAGCTTCCCCTGGCGTCTGGCAGGACGGAAACATCCCCTGCAAGAGGAGCTAAATGCCATCCTTACACAAAACCGAGCCTCAGTTCTGTCACCTGGAAAAACCTGGACCACAAGCTTCTCCCTGTGGGAACTGTGGTAAAAGTCACAGGCAGTTACATGCGTGGAGGAGTTGGAACCCAGTGTGCTCACCTGAAGTGTACACATTAATTCCTCGGGCAACTCCTAGGAAAATAAATATGTCTCTCCGGAAACTCCTCAGCCAGCAGCCAGCACCCACAGGAATCCTGGTCGCCATTCCAGCCCAAACTTTTGCCCCAAAGCTTCCCTCAGGATTCTTGGCTTCTCCCATCCCCTCTCTGTGGCCCTGACAGCAGGCAAGAAAGGCAGGAGGAATTTGGTAAGAATAGACACTTTATTGTACACCAGGGCTGGAGAGAGAGAAAGAAGGGGCTCTGGGGTGACAATACCTCATCTCCTCCTCTGGGCTAAGTGGTCCTGACCAGCCTTGGACTTGAACTGTCCCAAACTTGTGCCTAGACACAAAGTGTGCCCGGTGCGTGTGCGCTTGGGTCTGTACAAAGCAGGCCTTCTGTGAGAAAGGGCCTTGGGCCCTCCTCCCCCAGCCCCAGTCACTGGGCTCCAAGTGAAGGCGGAAGCAGACCCCACTTTTGGGGGCCTAGTGCAGGGACCCAGGGAATCAGGTACTTTACACTGCATTCAGCCTCACCTCTTTTTCACAACAGGGAATATTTGGCGGGGCGGGGGGGTGTTCAGCTGTGAGGAAGGGCAGAGGGGCAGCCCCCTGCCTGGTAATACTGCTGCAGGCCTGCGTGGGTGCCAGGCCTCAGCCTCACGGCCTACGCAGGCAGACTCAGGAGGTTTCTCCTGGCACTAAGAAAACAGTGGTCCCTGCAGAGTTATTGCTGGAGGGCAGAAGCCAGCCTGACCTGCATCATCTCATGTGCCCCATTCTACTCCCCACAGAGAGAGGCCTTGGGCTTCACGTTGCCTCAGTGGACAGGGTGGAAGCTCCCTGAGCAAGAAGCTGGTGATTGGGGCCCGGAGGAGGCCTCTGATAGGCAACCCCTACCCCGCCCCAACTCAGTGAGTACTGCCCTGGAGCCCCTGTCTCCTAGTGGGCACTGCATGGGCAGCGCCAAAGCCAGGGGTGGGGGCCCTAGGCAGGACCTTGGGGGGCAGCCCCTCTCTGGCCAACTCCTGCTTCCCAGGGAAGCTGCAAGTGGATCTTCGCTTGTCACGTGGCCCACCTGCCCTTGACTCCTCTGTGCTGCAAGCAGAGGTGTCAGCAGCAGAGTGAGGGCAGCTATTCCTCTCTGAGTAATAACTCAAGGACTAGCTCAAGGACAGATATAGGACAGCAGTGCTGTGAGACCTTCTTGAGGGCTCGCCATGCTAAGAAATCCGAGATTTTTCCTGCAGAGGAACTTGTGACAAAGGTGGGAACAGCAAAAAGTTGACTGGGTAATAAATGTGGGGCCTCCCCACAAGGCCCTTGTTCCCACCAGAGACATGAAGTCCCCAGCAAGACACACCTGCCCTTCCTCACAGCTGGGACTCCCCCACAGGCCTCACCCACAGAGCTAGGCAGGAGGAGAGGCAGGCAGGCAGCATGATCTCAAGAAAGGTGGTAAGCACTGGGGGGGGTCACAAATCACCCTACCTACACGCACGCCCACAGATGTGCAACACACACACACAAACACACGCACACATACACGCCTCAAGCTCTGGGCCCTACATCTAACGCACAGCAAAGACACAGCCGGGACGGAGCCAGGCCGACAGTGGAAGGCTACGACAAACAGAGCCCACAACCAGCAAGCAGCCAGCCCCAGCCCAGCCCCTCCTGCAGGCTCATGGGCTGAGGCCTGGCCCAGCCATGCTACAAAATTAAAAATATATCAAATATACAATGAAAATAGATCTGTACAGCACTGAGGATGAAAATAGTCCACCAGCCACGGTATAATATTGGGTTTGTCATTTCACAGCATTTACACCCACATGTACAGATTGAATGTACAATAGAAATAGCATATGTAGAAGAGTATAGATAGTGGAGTGTCTCCTGGGCTTCGCTCTTCCTGTTGCTAATTCTGCTTGGGACTAGGCATGGAACCAGGTAGGAGGTGTTGGCAGGTGAGGGGCCTCTCTTTGGGGAGATGTGGGCAGGGCAATCCCCCTTTCCCCTCAGACACTCAAGGACAGGCAGGGCCGAGAAGGCTAGAAACAAGAAAAGATGTAGAGGAGGGCTGAGTAATGGAGACGGCACACTGGGGAGGTGGGGGCCAGGGTATCAGAAGTACAAGAGAGAACCTGGGCCTGGTCTGCCCTTCCCAGGGCTGAGCTCATTCCAGGTCACAAGAGTAACTCAGAACCTGCTATAAAGATGCCCAAACCTAGTACTGTGGAATGCTCTGCCCTAACCCCCACCCCAAACTCTCAAAGATGGAGCCAGCCTTCCTCCAGTCCTTCCACCTACCAATCCATTTGTCAGTATATCTAGCCATCCATCCATGCATCCATCCATCCATCTATCCATCTATCTACCCATCCAACCATCTATCCATCCACTCATCTATCCATCCATCTATCCATCCATCCATCCATCTATCCATCCACTCATCTATCCATCCATCTATCCACCCTCTACCCATCCACCCATCTATCCACCCATCCATCCACGCATCCATCCATCCATCTACCCATCCAACCATCTATCCATCCACTCATCTATCCATCCATCCATCCATCCATCTATCCATCCATCCACCTATCCACCCATCTACCCATACACCCATCCATCCACCCATCCATCCAGTCATCCATCCATCCATCCATCCATCCATCCATCCATCCATCCACCCATCTATCCATCCAGCTACCCATCCACCCATCTATCCACCCATGCATCCATCCATCCATCCATCCACCCACCCATGCATCCATCCATCCATCTATGTATCTATCTACCCATCCAACCATCTATCCATCCACTCATCTATCCATCCATCCATCCATCTATCCACCCATCTACCCATCCACCCATCCATCCACTCATCCATCCATCCATCCATCCATCCATCCATCCATCCATCCATCTATCCACCCATGTATCCATCCATCCATCTATGCATCTATCTACCCATCCAACCATCTATCCATCCACTCATCCATCCATCCATCCATCCACCTATCCATCTACCCATCCATCCATCCATCCATCCACCCATCCACCCATCTATCCATCCACTCATCCATCCATCCATCAATCCATCCACCCATCCACCCATCTATCCATCCACTCATCCATCCATCCATCAATCCACCTATCCATCTACCCATCCATCCATCCATCCATCAATCCATCCACCCATCCATCTACACATCCATCTATCCGTCCATCCATCCATATCTCTCTCTAGACATTTATTCTTAGTTCAGGATCTCAATTCTCACAGGCTACATTCCCAGAGCAACTCCTCTTCCAGGGAGGCTCTGAAGGTAAGAGCCGGCAGGGATGCTGCCATCAGCTGCAGCTTCCTTTGGGTGCTGGAGCTCAGGGCAGAGGCTCCACCTTGTCCTTGGCAACCTCCCATATCTGCAGCACTGTCTGTGGCACTGTCTGCTATGGGCCAGAGCAGCTTGGGAAGGTTTCCGAGGTGTCCGCACGCAATGTGCACACTGGCAGCTGTGCTTGTGCAGCAGGAGAGTGAGTGGTGGTGCCAAGGGGCAGTGAAATTACCTGTCTTTTCCTCAGGAATGAGGCTTCCTGGGGACAAGCCCCTGAATTCCAGGGACCCCATTCCAGGGGAGAAGCTGCCACTAGGAAGAGAACTGGGCCCCAGGTAAGGGGAGACAGAGTGTGCTTCACAATTGTGCTCCAAACCATCTGAATTGTGCGGGGAACTATCAAATTGTGCTGTGGAAGCCTCACCTTGTACTGCCCCCTTCTCTCTGGGGCAAGAGGCAGAAGCCACCACCCTGGGCTCCAGGTCCATTGGCGGGGGCTGAGAGATGGCTAAGCCCTAATTGACGTGGGTAGATTCCGGCAGGCTGCAAGAGCATACCCCGCTCAACCCAGGTAGGGACGAGGACATCCCATGATCACACCTACACCTGGGGCCCTTGAGCTCCCTTTGCTCCCAAAGCCCATGCTCAAGCGGGAGGGCAGCATCTACCTCACGAAACAGGATCGGGAAGCTCGCACACACTCCCAGCATATCTGTCCGCATCCCCAGCTTTAAGCAGGCTGCCAAAGCCACCCTGTGCACCCCTAAGTCTGACGCCTTTCACTGCTGCCATGCGGCAGCACAAGGAGACCCTCTCCACACCTAAGACAGAAGGGTGGGGGGACTCCTGAATGGCTACGTGGAGTCCCCACTGTACTGAGAATCGGGGCTTCTGGATGGTACTGGTTACACGGCTGCAAACTGGTGAGAGGTTCCGAGGGTCAGGTGGATTGGGGGCCCGGACTAGGGGACAGAACCGTCCCTAGACCCTTGCTCAGGGCTAGAGATTAGAGTCTGTTGGGACAGGGTGGGGAATGAGGGAGGGTGGACCCTCTCTTCTTTGGCAGAGGGCTGGACTGGGTCTGGTGGCCACCATGGAGGAAGAGGCCAGGCCCAGAGAAGTGGGCAGGCTGGGCGTGGGGGGACAGCGGGCAGGGTGGGGGCTGTGGTCACAGCTCTGACTCAGGAGTGGTGGCCAGGAGGTATCCGCTTCCATAGCGTCCATTGGGGTTGCCACTGGTCTCCAGGGGTGAGGTGCTGCCGGGCCCCAGATAGGAGCGGTGGGTGGGCATGGGGGAAGGCGCCTCGCTGGGCACCTTGCTGAGGATGAAGCGAGTCTCATCATTCTCCTCTAGGTTGGAGATGTCCTTCATCATGCGGCCCTTCTTGTAGGACACGGAGAGGGTGTTGGAACCGTCGGAGAGCAGGTGGAAGTGTCGCAGAATGAAGACCACTGGCATGGGCAGCGTTGCCACGATGATGAGAGTGATCAGGAGGGCCATGGCCCAGTCGGGGAAATACAGGTAGCGCTCAGCAGCCTGGGGACAAGTGGCAGTGAGGGCTGCTGTCCCACCGTGACAACCACCCTCCCAGGGCTCTGGGACTGCCCCTCCCCATCTTGGCCCAGAGCCTGCATCCCTCTCCTCCTATCCTGGCCAGCAGAGATGGCAGTTACTAGGAGGTGCTACTTGATTTTAGTCTACCACCTTGGTTAAGGGGTCTCAGTCTCGCCATCTGTAAAGTGGGCGGGTAGTTCCACTCCATAGATGCGGAGAAAGCATGTGTGTTAGAAAGATTAGACGAGTACATTAATCCTCTGAGCCTCAGTCTCTTCACTTTTTGAGCTATAGGAACAATGCCACTTATCTCTGGGTTGTTGTAGATTACAAATTATGTGTACAAAGCACTCGGTGGGCCTGACACATAGCAGCTGTCCTCTAAAGGTTTACCCCAGTTATCTATTGCAGTAAGGCCTGGGCAGACACAGCGGTCCCTGGGGTTCCTGGGGCCCCACCCCTCACCTCCTCTTTGATCCAGGCGCTGTAGCCTGGGGGTGTCACCCCCAGTTGGATGATGCTGGCAGTGGTCAGCACGGCCATGCACAGCGGAGACACGAACTTCCACATGTAGAAGTAGAAGCGATAGGGTCGGAAGCCCAGCATCTCCGTCAGCTCCTGCATGAACCTGGCGGGCAGAGAAGCGGGCCCAGCAGTTGGTACCCTTACATGGTGCCTGCTCCTTCCCCTCAGCCACCCCCTCCAGGAAGCCTTCATCAGTCCTTCCCAGCCTGCCCCGTCATCACTTCAGTGCTCCCAGTATGAGGCCCGGCTGACTACCCACACCACACTCCACCCAGGACAGGACGCATCCCACGCGGCCAGCCCGGCCTGGGCAGGGGACCAGCACTAGAGAAGGCTTCCTGTCCAGAAACACCCAGCCCCTCACACTGGCCTGGATCGTGTCTCCCCCTGCTGGACGACAGCAGCAGATAACTTTACTAACACTCAAGCTACCACCTCTAACTGTTGGCTCTGCGTAGAATTCCAGGAGGCAGGCGGGCTGTGTACTTGAGAAACATACAAAACCACCTTTACCTCAGTTATGCCTAACTGAACCCTGGCAGGTCCTTCTGTGACAGATGCAAGCTACCATCGCAGCATCAATGAATTACCTGGGACTGGCACCAATGGATTAAATCACAGATATGTTCATATCACATTACCATTGTTAAAATGCCTGGACATGTCATTTGTGTTCATCTGTAGTTTAAATTATGATTGTTATTACGTCCACAACTAGATCTTGTAAATTCATGCAATACAAATAAAGTACAGTACTATTTCACAGATCTAAGTGGTATTTTGCTACTTTTCAATATACTTCTCTACACAACCCTATATATTTTATCTTACACGTTAAAAGATAATACTCTGGAAGTGTACGAAGGCATCACCAACCTGCCAATGGGGCCCGTGGCACCCAGAGTTAGAGCCCCTGTAGCAGTGCCTTCTAACGCTGGTGTTGAGGCAGAGGGGTGCTCCCTTCCCTCCCCTCCCTCTCCTTTCCTGTGCTCTCTTAAGACCCCTAGGAAAGAGCTTTGGCTCCAAAACCAGGTCCAGGCCTCGGGGGTGGTCAAACTGAGTGGGCTGGTGGAGGTAGTGGGCCTTGCAGAAGACAAGCACAACGAGGCCATTGCCAGTGCTGAGAGAGGAGCCAAGGGCTGGTCTTGGAGCTTCTTGGCAACAGATTTATCCTAAATGCGGAATGAGGCTGGGGACCGACAGTGGCGGAGGTCTGCCCTAGGCTCAGGCCATGAGACCAGATCCCTTTGTATCGCCGCGTCTTTTTACCCTGCCCAACCCCCAACAGGGGCCAAAACCACACCTTAAAATTGTGAAGTCTGTAAGTGAAGGCTGCTGAAATCCACAAATTCTTTGCCGGCAGGGGAACTGGTGTCTCCACCCGGTGCTTAACAAGCTTAGAATTCTGAAGAGGGTCAGGACCCAGGAAAGGGCCCATGGTAATTTAAGGAAGTCTAGGCTGGTAGTGGGACTCCTAGGAGTCCAGGACCTCTAGGTCCTTGGCTTGGCTCCGTCTCTTACTCGCCCAGGGGCCCCAGGAAAACCTGACTCCTCTCTAGCTTCAGTTCCCCAGGGCCAAAGGCCACTCCCCTACCCCAGCATTCCGATTCTGTGATCTCCAGCCCATTCACAAGCAGCCCTGAGCACACAGGCTCTCCGGGAAGTCGTAAGGGACAGAACCCTCCCCCTGCCTCCCCTCCCCGACGTCTCCCTTACTTCTTGGTCCCATAGATCCAGGCCACAGCGATGTTCTCAAGGATGACGATGACGGTGAGCGGCAGGGTGGCCGAGTAGTCATCAAACATGGTGACAAAGTAGTTTCCGGAGCGCTGGACGAACAACAGCCCCACGAAGAATGCAAAGACACAGCAGCCCACTACAGAGAGCCGGGAGGCCGGTGTGGGGGCAAAGCGCAGGGTGGGTGTGGCCCGGGAGTGTCAGGGGCACCCAGGTCCCTGCCGTCATGCCACTCCCCCAGTGGGCCAGCAGGCACAGCCCTGCAGGAGGGATCTGATGCTGAGGTGCTGGGCTCCCCCTCTACCAGGTGGGGAACATCGGGAAAGGCGGGCGCATCCGTGTCCTGTGTTCCACACCCCTCCTAGCACCTAGCCCACAGCAGCTGCTCCATTTAATTACTGCATCAAATTTAAATGATTTATCTGATTGTTCCTGCATTCTGTATTTCCACCTCTGTTTCTCCATCTGAGAACAGGAAGATATTTTCCTGGGGATGCAGGTGAGAGGGAGCCATGTACATAGCCCAGCTCAATTCAGCAGGGGCCATAGGGAACTGTGGACATGGCCAGCGACCCCAGGCAAGAGGGTAGAACAAGGTGGAGGGCTGGTGCTAGGAGAAGACACCTCTGCCCAAGACCACTCAGGAGGCCTTTGGGGAGAGAGCAAGAATACCCACGAGGCCACACTCCTGGCTGAGGTTGGGCCCACATTTCCAAATAGCTCTCTCCTCCTGGCTCCTGAGTACTGGTGGCTCAGTGACATGGCCAGGCTCCAGTTGTATCCCCATGGGGAGGGCTTTCAAACATGAGGTCGTGAATGACCTGGTTGGAACTTAATTTTTCTAAAATCAGAGCCAGAACAAGATTGTCATCCTTGGGGCAGGTGAGAGCCAAGTGGGGCTGTGGGGAGGAGTTACCTGTGAACATCTCCTTGGGCACCTTGAAAGTGTCGATGATGGGGGTGGTGATGCCCGCCATAGTCCCGATCATGCTGCCCAGGCCCAGGTTGATGAGCATCAAGAAGAACATGACAGACCAGAATGGCGAGGCAGGGAAGTGTGTCATGGCCTCGGTGAAGGCGATGAAGGCCAGGCCTGTGCCCTGCACAGACTGAGGGTGGGGCAGAGAGCAAGACCTTGTGAAGGACACCCCCACCCAGGAGCCCCCTGCTTCCTTACCTCTGCCCTTGAAGCTTTAGTAATCACTGTTCCTTCCTTCACAGGGATCCTCGTCTCCACCTAATCCTGTTGATTTGGGCCAGTGGCTCTTACACTTCAGTGGGCATCAGAATCCCCTCGGGGGAGTGCAAAGGTACCAGTTTTGGATCTCCCCCGCCCAGGAAACCTGGAATCTAGAGGCTGTACAAGGACCCCGCTGATTCTGATGAATTTGTTCACCTCTAGAGACAAACCTAAGATGAGACTATGATATTTCCTCCAATTGCACAACCATTCTGGCTGCTCCTAGCTCTGAAATCCTGAGCCTCAGACTTGGCTGTCACAGTCACAGGTTCAGCTGCTCAATGGAAGCTTGTTGGAACCTTTACAAGCCCTCATGCCTAGGCCTCCCCAGGGACAATGATTTGAGGGTAGGTCTGGGGGTTTACAAAGCTCATGACTGATTCTAATGTGCAGCCCAGGTCAGGAACCATTGCACTAATGCTTGGGCCCTGCCCACAGAGTATCTTAATACACTGGAGGCCGACATCATTCCCATGCTGTCCTGTAATGCCAGCGACCGGGAGGAAACATATGCCCCTCACCTGAGCATGTAACTCTGGTTATTTAGATGCTGTTGAAGTTGCACTGTATGAAAAATATTGCTAAAATCCTAGTTTTATTCAGAGGCTCAGGCCACACCCATAAGAACAGGGCAGGGTTTCATGGAACTCGGAAGGTAGAGTTCCTGTGTGCTGCCAAGTCACCAGGAGAAGAAACCAGGCAGGAGGTCCCCAGATAGGCTCTGGTTTCGGTCACCTGCGGAGGGGTCAGGATGTGGAACACAGATCCCTCAGTACAATGGAACTGACTTCTAACATAAAGCTTGGGCATCAGCTAGGGAAAGCTTGTGGACCTGTGAAGAAGGGCAGGGTTAGCCTAGGCTATGGGCACCTGCTCTGCCTCACAAGGGCCTTGGCTCCAGCCAGGTTCCCAGGACCCTGTGGATGTGTCTCTGACCTGTGATCCCTTCTAACAGACAGTGCTTAGCTGTGAAAAAGTAAACAGAAGAAGGCGTCTCAACTTGGGATTGAGCATTAATGAAGAGGCAGCATCTCTCTGCTCTAGCCCAGGGACTAAGGGCCATCATGGCAGCGGGATTTGGACGGGGACAGCTAGGAGAAGGGACAGAAGTCTTGAGGGATGAAACACATGGACTGGCTCACCCACTTACTAGCCATGAGACTTTGATCAAGCCCCCCCAATCTACAGGCCATTGGTAGGTAACCACTGGTAAAACAGGGGACACTACTCAACTCATGGAGCTGGAGAGGTCCAAAGGAGACAGAGAGCCCAGGGCAACACCAGCATATTTCATGCACCACAGGCCAGGCACTGTTAAGTGCATTACATATGGGAGGATGGTCCCCAGTATACAGGAAGTCCACTTAATCCACAGTGAAGGTGCCTTACAGCAACTGCGGGTTCTGAGATACAACATGTGTCTGCCTTGGCCCCTTGTCTAGACTTAAGCCAACTTCAGGGCAGGGGCTTTGCCTAACAGCTTTCCTCTCTCTCCCTCTGGACAAGTAAGTCCTTGCCTGTTACATAAACCAATGACTCCCTATGAAAAAGCTTTCCAAGGCTTTTTCCCAAGCTCCAGTCACCCACAGCCCATCTCTGGGTTCCTGCATGTACTAGGAATGACAGCCTTTCCCCGCACCTTATCAAGCTCATCCTCTAAGAGGCAGGGATCCAGCCCCAGAGCTGAGAATTTGTCCTCCTTCACGGTCATGATGACATTGTACATCTCCGCATAGTCCTTGGTGGTCAGGTGGGAGAAGTTGACATGGGGTGGGATGAGGTCTCGGCTCAGGACATTGGAGTTGAGGTACCCCAGGATTTTCTCAGCATTCCTGCAGCACAAAAGGGAGAGGCCCACGTAGGAAGGTAGGATTGGGATCTTGGGGGCACCTCCTAGACATCCAGGCAAGACCCCCTCCCCTCCATGGGCCACTGAGAGACATCTCTGAACTTGTCCTTGTGGGCTAAGGCCGGGAACAGACAATGTTCTGATCTCATTCCTCAGAGGAGTGGAAGGGACCTCTCTCTCTGCACGGCCCACTTACCATTCCTGGGTGAAGTGGGCAGGGGAAGGGGGACAGGAGGAGCGATGCTACCTACTCGACCACACACTTCTCATTCATGATGTTGGCCTTGAAGCCCAGCACTGCAAATACCACGAGGGTGGCCAACACCGAGGTGAAGAAGTTGATGAAGGACACCAGCGCAGCATCGAAGTGGCAGTTGTTGTCCTGCTTGTTGTAGCTAGAGAAGGCGATGACGCCGCCGAAGCCCAGTCCCAGAGCAAAGAAGACCTGTGTGGCGGCCTCTCGCCACACCTGTGGATCCAGCATCTTGTCCAGCTATGGGGAAGACAGTAGCAAGTGGGGGAAAACAGAGACAGAGAAGATGGTTGTACTCACCAGCCCCGAGGTCCCCTCCACACCCCTTTCTCTTAGCCTCAACGGAGTTCAAAGGCAACACAGCATACTAATACGAAGCCATGGCTGTGTGACCTTAGGCAATTCACTTAACTCCTCTGAGCCTCAGTTTCCCTACGTGTAAAGCACGAGTGACAAGAGTACCAACTAGTTTTTGGAGAGGAGATGAGATGAAATAAATGCTAAGTACTTACATAGTAAATTCTCAATTAATTTTAGCTGCTATCATTACTTACCTTGGAGCTGTCATACTAAGAAACAGGGATGTAGCTCAGTGGTAGAGTGTTTGCCTAGCATGTACGGGGCCTGAGTTCAATCCCCAGTACAGAAAAAAAGAAAAGAAACACAGCCAAGATCTTTACAACCCAAGGCAGTTCTATCACTTGGACTATGGTGTGCATCGTGCCTCCTGAAGTCATGTGATCAACAGCCTGCATGACAGTTTAACAGAACTGAGAATTCCTGACACGTTTCCCACCTCTCACTGTGGAAAACAAATCTTTCTTCTCCCCTGTGCCTACCTGATTTCCCTCTCCCCCGAGAAAGACACCCAAGGCTCATTCATACACATCTATATGCTCCAGGTCACGGCAGCTGCCTCCACCCCAACTTGGTACACAAAACCAAGATACCTCCTGGAGACAGGCAGACCATGCCTAGGACCTCCACCTGCTCTCAGCCCTCCCAGACCTCAACCACAGCACCATTTGAGGGTCATGGACAATTTCCAAAGCCACTTTCCTATCAATTTTCCTTTTATTCTTTGTCCCTTAAGGCAGGGGCCTGGAAAGCAAAGGTGGGCTGGGCCCCACCCTCTTCTACCTTCTAGCTATGGAGAGGCACACTGGTCAAACAATCCCATGAACAGACGCTAAATTGCAACTGTGACAAAGGCTGTGAAAGCCAGGCACCCTGTGCTCAGGGAGTGGCTGAGTGGGTCCGGAGGTACCCATCGGGTTTCTGTGGGAAAAGATCCTTGAGCTGACACCTCACAGATAGCAGTGGAGATTAGGGAAGGCGTATTCAGGCAAAGGGATTGTTGTAGGCCAGTGTTCTGAGTTAGCACAGAGGCTGGAGTGCAAATGGAGATGGACGCAGCCAGGCTGGCTGCAGCACAAAGGTCAGGCAGGGGTGGACCAGGCAAGGCTAGAAAGGAGGAGGCCAAGGCTTTGGAGATCCTTGTCTACATCCTAAGAAAGCATTTAATCTAGGAAATCACCACGGAGTGAACATGTCCAAAAGAAGCAGGTGGACACATCAAGGAAGCTGTGAGGAAGCACATTCAGGGGACCACGTGCCAGGTGGAGGTGGCTTTGCCTAGGAGACTTCATCAGGAGAAACGAAAGCATTGGAGAGGGATAGGGAGAGGTGACAGCCACATTTCAGGCCTGCAGGCTGGGTACACTGAGGTGGAACAGGGGAAGAGGAGTAGGCTGGTGGATTGGGCAGTGCAGATGAAGATGTTAGTTCTGCAGAGGGCGGGTTGAATGTGTCTTCAAGGCATTTAGGCAATGTCTATTTTCAGTCTTCAGCAAGTGGCAAGCCAATTTTTCCAGCACCATTTATTAAAGAGGCTGTCCTTCTTCCAGTGAGCTTGTTTGGCCCCTTTGTCAAAGATTAGGTGGCTGAGTGTGTTTGTGGCTGTGATTGTTTCTTCCAGTCTGTTCCATTGATCCTCAGGTCTGTTTTTTAGCCAGTACAATGCTG